AAGGGAATTCAACTTAGTTGTTGGGATGCCTCTAAAGAATCTCCCATCCGCAAGAGCAATGCTATATCTATAATGTTAGAAAACATAAAGATAGAGGTAGAATAAAATTGTTACACACGACTTGGAATTGGATCTTCTAGTAGTCCTGGCAATTGACCATTTGTGTTCCTTTATTAGATAACATTTGACACCTTTCCGATGGCCACTACTTTTTGCATGCAGCCAATTTCAAAAGATTATCATCATTAGATATGCCCTCAAGTGAAAGAGAGAAGAATATTCGAATAGAATCAGAGTTGGGTACCGAAATGCCCAATTCCTCATCTGCAACCATGACGAAGGATGGACATAGCGGAGTGAAGGAGAGAAACTCTGCTTCAGACAGTGGGAGGAAACCAGAAATACTTATCAGTCGTATGAAGAGTGTTTCTTTGTCTGCCAAATTGAGAACGGGAAATGTTAATGAGGAAAAAGACACATCTAATTTGCAATATAAACCCGAGGCATGGATGATGCCAGATCAAGCAGAAGATAGATTGAGTCAACTAAATCTTGCGATTGTAAGTTATCTTTTTCAATCAGAATGTAATCCTTGATAATCTGTTCAATTATGTCTATTATGGTATTTTCTACTGATTTTGTTGTTTTAAATACTTAGGTTGGCCATGTTGATTCTGGAAAATCTACACTTTCAGGAAGGTTACTTCATCTTTTGGGAAGGATATCCCAAAAAGAGATGCACAAGTATGAAAAGGAAGCTAAACAACAGGTAATGTAGCAACCATATTTTGTGCTTTTCATGGATTTAGTTTTGGTGTCCTGAATGTGTGCTTCATTCTTTGACCAGGGAAAGGGGTCCTTTGCTTATGCGTGGGCATTGGATGAAAGTGCCGAAGAAAGGGAAAGGGGTATAACCATGACTGTGGCTGTTGCGTTTTTCAATTCTAGGAAATACCATGTTGTTCTGCTCGACTCCCCTGGCCATAGAGATTTTGTTCCAAACATGATATCTGGAGCAACACAAGCAGATGCTGCCATTCTAGTGGTAGATGCTTCAATGGGTTCATTTGAAGCAGGCCTGGATCCTATTGGAGGACAAACAAGAGAGCACACACAGCTTATTAGAAGCTTTGGTGTAGATCAAATTATAGTTGTAGTTAACAAAATGGATGTAGTAGAATACTCTGAGGAACGGTTTGATATGGTTAAGCAGAAACTTGGAACATTTATTCGCTCGTGTGGTTTTAAAGACTCTTCTGTATTATGGATTCCAGCAAGTTCGATGGAAAACCAAAATTTGGTGGTAACTCCTGATAAACGATTGTTCTCCTGGTTAGATTCCTCTCTGTGCTGTTTCTTTTCATTACATTCTTTTTGGGTTTGTTCATTTGATGTTTTCTTTTATGTTATACTGTATATGCATGTTGTCGTGTTGTTGATCCTGGTTATACTTTCGATTGCCATGTGTAATGTCAAGGGAAGTAAGTTAGGCGGCTGTTTGAATCTGTGATTGCATTTGAGCAGGGTTCATATGTTGCCACTTGCCATGTAAATGGTATAACAGTTTTATGGTAACCATATGCAAGTAAAGAAGAATATGATTTTCTTCTCCGCATACTTATTAAGTTGGTGATATTATTGATCTACTCATCGAATGCATGAATTGAAAACCAATATTTTTAAATCCTTGATGACTAAAGATTTCCACCATTGTCTGCGGTTGAAAGAAAGAGGATGCTTGTTTCTCTCGTCGATTCCTCTTATATCCTATATTCTACATTGTATTGTCCTGAAAATGTATATCGAGTACATAAACACACAACTTACCGAAATGTTTCTTGATTCCCAAATGTATATGTGATGCTATATTGAGAACTTGTGAAATTACTGAATTGCAGGTTTCATGGACCTTGTTTATTGGATGCAATAGATTCTCTTCAACTTCCTACAAGAGATTACTCAAAGCCGTTACTAATGCCAATATGTGACATTATCAAATCGCAATCACAAGGTCAGGCATCTGCATGTGGGAAATTGGAGACTGGAGCAATTCGAACTGGTTCTAAGGTACAGATTGTGTTGCCATTTAGTTTTCAATAAACTCCGTCTAATTTTAAAGTCATTTCGACAACGGCAGAATCCGTATTGGAAACCTTTTCCGTAGAAAGGAGAACTGGTTTACCCGCTTGCTACCCACCCCCCACCCCCCAATAGCCGATTGAATGGTTGGATAGCCACTCAACTGTTCACTATAGTTCCTATCCCACTCTACTCCTCCTTCAAAAATAAATGCTGCCTTTCTATTTGGAGTTGATTGGAATTGATATCCATTTTCCAATAGCTTTTGAATAGAATAGTTTAATACTCAATTCCCAACTCCCCCGATATACTCCAGTACACTTATCAAAAATTTATTTGTGCTCGCACTTTACAGTTCATTTCTTAAAACAGCATTCTTTTTCAATTCCTGCCTTGACAATTCTGAAATTCCTACTGTGGTATTCACTATGAACTGGACGAAGTACAATTAGATTAGTAGCTGTGAAGATCTTGATCTGTGTGTGCCAATATGTTAATCCTTGAATTATGAATAGCCATTATGATGCATTATTTAGGGTGGGATTTGTAGCACTAGTTTTATTTATAATTTCTGTTGGTACATCACTCTGTTTTCTTGTTTTAGGTTATAATTTGGTCCTTGTTTGTTTCCAATTTCTTCATTCTATACAATTGGAAAGATTGAGACAGTTGCAAACTTTAAATGTTTTTTGCAGTTGTCTTGACTTCAAGCTTTCTAAATGAGTTGTGGTGCTACTACACTACTTATTATACCTTTAAATGATCCAACAATGCACACGAGATCAGTCTCCATCTTGAATTAATAATCATCTCTTTGTTCTCAAACCTGCCTTTTACAGGCTAATTTTCATCAAAATTCTCCTTTGGGTTGCATATCCACATAGTTGTAGAGATCTACTATATAACATGGATGAGATAGACTGTTGAAGTCACCATCCTTACAAGTTGAGGCTATTGTAAGTTCTATATTGTTGCTGTAAAATGCGACATATATAAGTTTGTAATTCTTATCAACTGATATACTTCGGAGCAAGAGCATTTTATGTATGTAGAATTTCTGATGTGTTCTTTGTGGTGGAAATGTTTGTCTAATGGATAGAAGGTTTCTTGTGGTTTGATTTATATAAGGTATAATGGAATCTTCTGAGCTGGTTTGCCTTTGTGAAGAGAGTGTAATAACTGCCACTCATAACACTTGTTTGTGTATGTTGGTTACAGGTACTGATTATGCCTTTGAGAGAAGTAGCAACAGTGCATTCTCTGGAACGGGATTCTCAAGCTTGTAAGATTGCAAGATCTGGTGACAATGTCACAGTCAATTTACAGGGTATTGAGAGCAATCGTGTGACAGCTGGGGGTGTCTTATGTCACCCTAATTTCCCAGTTCGCGTCTCAAACCACTTGGAACTGAAGATTCTTGTGCTCGATATTAAGATTCCAATTCTAATTGGTTCTCAGGTTTCACTCTTCGTGGAAATAATTTTTATTTATTTTGTGGTCATGTTATTTAGGAGCTTAATATCGCAATATCTACTAAAATTTGCAGTTGGAATTACACATACACCACGCAAAAGAGGCTGCAAGAGTTGTGAAGATATTGTCACTGCTAGATCCAAAGACTGGGAAGGTTACCAAAAAGTCCCCAAGGTGTATATTAGCAAAGCAAAATGCTGTAGTTGAGGTTCGTGGTACAGAATTCTTTCAGTTTATATGGTTTTTTCTTCCTTTTTCTGTGTTTTGCTTCCTTTTTTATCTGCACTAGTGCTCTCTAGTAGCCGACTTAAGTGTGTATTTCTGTTACCTTAGGTTGTTCTGCAAGGATCGGTTTGTGTAGAGGAGTACGCAAAATCCAGAGCTCTGGGACGGGTGTCACTTAGATCATCAGGAAGAACTGTTGCGCTTGGTCTTGTAACCCGAATAATGAAGACCCAAGAATAATTTCGATAGGGGAAAATTTGCATTGTTGCAACCAACAATCTGTGAAAAATCTGTATTCATACGCCTTACCATCCATTTTGATATAGAGGTGGGCGGCATCATAGTTTTATTTTTGACTGTATAATGTATAAGCGATTCACTCTGGTGTAAATTATGAAATTAAATTTGATGAAAGAGTTTATTCAAATATTTTCCTTTTCCTGTTGGTGACATGGGGATGAATCCACCTTTAGTCAAAGGCATGGAATTTAATTAGGGAAAATTAGGCTGAGTCCTTGCTTTTACTTCTTATTTGAAAATACGAGGGTTAAATAAGTCTTTTTACTCCCTCTTGACCTAGATTTTGTACGAAGACCGTCATATGTGTTAATTTAATGGAAGGTTGGTGATAAGAATTCGATGGGGAAAAGGTTGGCCCATAAACTTGAGGGGATGATGGATCCCATCACGACAGTTTTAAGTTAGAAAAACATTGGTAGTAGATTGGACTAGCATAGTTGGGATGTCGTTCATGATAGGTCATGAAAAGTTTTCAATGTAGTTTTGCTCGTCATGGAAAAACTATTTCATGTCGTGCCTGGCTCGAGGCTTACCAACAAACTCGGACTGCTAGCTTGACGATGACATTCTCTCTTAGGCCTTCACATCCTACCGTTCAATGCTTAGATTTTGTTTGAATCTTTTTTAAAGCAAACAGTCTGCAATACTTGACCACTTTTAGGCGTAATTCTTGAATTTAGAGCTCAAGCTTTGATCAAGTCTACTATTCAAACATATACAGCACCTAAATTCAAACAATCCGATAATCAACGTGACCAAGGGAATGAATTTGAACTAAATCTATTGCCTTTCTGAACAAAAATCAAAACAGACATCCATTGGCAAGATCTGAATCAAGAAAAGTTAATAAAACAGGTATAACTTTAGTAGCAATCTGATATTAGCAGAAAAAATAATGTCGAATTTTATCAACTTAAACATTATTATCGACCCGTTAAACTGATATCTGATGTGCTCCTAGGAATGGACGAGGAGAGTAGCCCATTTCGTATATCTTCTAATGTCGGAAGTTCAGATCCAATATTCTGATGATAATAAAACCATCTCTCAGGTGAATGTATATCAGTAAGCATGTCAATTGTCACTTCTTCAGATTCCGCTCCCTGCATTTGCAGTTTCTTCAAGATTAGTCTCATTGAAGGACGTGCATTTGGATCTGGATTCGTGCACCGTAAGGCCAAGCGCAACGCATTTTCAACTTCTAGTTGGTCGAATTTGCCATTTCTCTTCAGCCTCTCATCTAATGCATTGATCAGTTCCCCTCTTTCCATTAGCCCATAAACCCACTCAACCAGGGTTTGCTTCCCTTCTTCTATTGGTTTCCGCCCACACACCACCTCTAAAACCAACACCCCGAAACCAAAAATATCAGTTTGAGCTGAAGGGCGTCCAGTACGAACCAGTTCTGGTGCCATGTATCCCACGGTGCCTACAACTTGGGTCATACTAGCCAATTGTCCATGATCGTGCATTCTAGCCAAGCCAAAATCTGCCAGTTTTGCATTCATGTCCTGGTCTAGTAACACATTGCTTGCCTTAATATCTCTATGCAGCACCTTAGATTCCCACCCATCGTGCAAATAAAAGACCCCAGAAGCCACATCTTTTAAGACCGCCATCCTGTCTTCCCAATTCAGCACCACATTTCTGCCACAATCAAAAAGCCATTTATCCAAACTTCCATTTTCCATATAATCGTATATCAAAAGTAGGCTTCTTCTCTCTGTGTTACACCAACCTCTCAATGACACCAAATTTCTATGCTTCAATCTACCTAAACTTGATATTTCAGCCAAGAAATCTCTCATTCCACGCTCATTTTCAAGTGAAAATCGCTTCACAGCCACTTCTATTCCTCCTGCCAATACCCCTTTAAAGACTTGCCCATTTCCTCCACAGCCGATTACATTTTCCTTCGCAAAACCTTTTGTTGCAGAATAAATTTCTTGATAATCCATGCGATGAGGCCAGTACTCCAATTCCCATTCTTCGAGTTCTCTACCCTTTCCCTTTTTCCTTCTCCGTAGCAAAAACACGTAAATTGTGACTGCACATAGAATAGTGAAAACACTGCCCACAGTAATCCCTGCAATAAAGCCTTTGGAACGAAAAAAGGAAGCCTTTGAAGCAACAAAAGATGGTAGATCTTCAGTGACTAAAGCATCACCAATGGAAAAATTGGAATTGCTAAAGCTCCATGACAGAATCCTATGACTTTCAACTAATGCTCCAGTGGCAGCACAAAATCCAACATACATTTGACCCAGTAAAACCTCTGATATGTCTACTGGATAATCAATCAACGGCCTAATAGGTCTGTCCATACCTACAGGTGCCATAGTAACATTCACTCGAGAATCCATATAATCGATCCAAACTTGAATGTTGTCTCCATTGTTCAACCTCAGAGGGCGAAATTCCAATCCAACATCATACTCATTATCATAATCTTCATCATTTCCAACCCAGTATCCAGCCTCATGCATTTCTTCAGAAGTGAGAGAATTCACATTGATACCAACATGATTATCATTAAGATCATTGAATTCTTGGTTCTTGAACACATCAAACTTGATGGCAAAGACATGGTTGTTTGAGTTACCATTATTCGTGAAATTGAGCAGGCCAAGGTGCTGAGCTGAATTCGTGCCATTTATGCCAGTCGATGGTGTGAAAAGGAAGGCAAAGCCATGTCCAGGGAGGCGGTTAGGATATGGAGAGATGGAGAAAATGAAGGAAGTTGAGAAGGGGAGGAGTTGGGATGAGTTTGAAGGTCTAGTAGGTATTGATTGAGGATAAAGGGCTCTTCCAATGGAGAAGTTTGCATCAGTTGTAAGAGTGAGAATTGACGATTCAATGGTGGCATTGCCGTAGAGATTAACAGAAGAGGAATTGAAAGAATTGAAGATAAATTCAAGGGATGAGATGTATCGGAAGAGAGAGAAGTAGATGAAGAGAGAGAAACCTTTGGAATCCATTGGAGATTTTCAGATATTTTCTTGGTTGGTTGGTTGGTTGGTTAGTGTCATTAGGGACGGTATCTGCAAATGGAATGAAATTCATAATTTGTGGTAAAATTTGTCGACGCCCACAAAAGTTGATTGTTTGACATAATGATCTATGGGAAAGTCAGTAGGATTCAATTCGCTTTTTTGAATTTCTCGATCACTGTATGAAGATGGAGACATGTTCTNTTTTTCCATGCTACTCCGTCAATATTTATGTTTAGACGACAATAATTGACGTGGGTTTTCCCCCACAGATTTCCAAGTTACTTTATAGAAACCACATAAATTCAAAAGTTACTTTTCCAAAAAAAAAAAGATGCATTGAAGAACAGTTTCTAAACAATTGTGCAGCAAAAAAATCAGCACATGCCAGTAAGATGATGAGATTATACACCTATGTAAGTGGGATAAGTTCAATGAACTGCCCTAAACAATCAAAACCAACAAAAAGATGCAACCAGATTTCTCTTTTCATCTGAAAAAATTTATATCTTTACCATCTTTGGCTGCATAATTTGTTCAAATGTTCCTTTTGTGAAGGAAGAACTCCTTGAATTCTTGCCAGCCGACAGGACTGTTCTGAAAACAGTTTATATGTTGAAGGCCTCTTCCACGGAACAATCCCAAAATCATCGTTGAACTCTTCCATCCCTTCAACCCAGAACTGCCAGACTAAAGTTCCAGCACCAGATTTGTTTCGTTTTGTAGACATGTATATGATATCTAGAATAACTTTGTAGAATTTGTCTCGTTGTGAAGGGTCGAATCCTTTGTTCTCGGTAGATAATCCAAATTCAGTGAACATTACGGGCTTTTTCAGTTCTTTGTCGCCATCTTCAATGTGCGAAAGCATCCACTTGGAGACAAATTTAAGTTGGTATCCAAAATCTTGATTATGAGACCTATTAAAAGAAATAGGTTTAACATTTAGTTGGGTTATTCACCCAAAAGTAGAAGAATGCAACAGATCATGTTTGACTAGGCATAAATGTAACTTAAACTTGATTTCCAGTAAATTTGTTTCTAAACATGTTTGCACATATTGCTTTGTAACAGTAAGGTTGGGAATATTTCAAAATAATGAACTTATGTTCAGCTTTGACCTGACCATAAATGAATTAATTGAAAAATTAACTTAAAAGCAATTTCTGTAGGCTTATCCCGACAGGCTAAGTTCACAAGCTATTTACAGTACATCAAGGTAAGAGAACAACACAGCCACTTGGCATTGAAATCAAAGAGAAAAATGGCTTGCTTTTTTCTTCTTCCTTCTTGCTGAAATTTCCAGTAGTAAAATGGTAGTAAAAGCAATTAATTTCCGAAATGTAATTAATAATAACAAACTTCACTTTTTCAGTATCACAGTGTGCCATTCTTTAATGTTATCCTTTCATGTTTTATTTTGTTTGTCTGTCTTCCAAAATTGAATCTCTGGTCTTTGGGGGTCTAAAGTATTATGATATCAGAATTACAAGCTTCATGGATCACAAAGTCGAGCAAACAGAGCAGATTATGCAGTAACCAATAATATGATTAGATAATTAATAGACAAACAGCTCACCAGTGATCAGGGTATATATGAACTGATGCAAAATCAATAGTTGAGATCTTTGAGTTTCGAATGAAATCAGATCCAAGATCAGCTGCCCAGAACTCTGGATTCACAGTTGACCTTTTGGGATTTTTTGGACCATAGAATCCTTCAAGGCCCACAGTCAGCAAATGTTTATTGTCAATTAATTTGATAAAAGTAGACATTTCTTCGATCCAATCCTGCAATTTTACCAAATACATACCACATCAAGGAAAAAATTCAAAAAAAAAAAAAAAAGGAGAGAGAGAAGAAAATCAAACTACAAGTAATCTCATTCCCATTCAAGCAAACCAGACTAGTTGAACAGAAAGCGAAACCAAAAGGATCTGGAGTTTTATTCAACAGTTAAACATTATGCATAAAAAGATATTTAAAGAGTGTTCCTCCATTGAAAAAAATATAGAGACAGGCTATACGCAAAATGAGAGCTTGGCAAAGAGTTACATGTTGAAAAATTGAGTTCGGAGGCTGTAATTTTATATGTCGAAGAAGAGACACCACAAAATATGTATTACCATTCACATAGTTGTACCTATGGCACTGCCTGTCTTACCAATGTTGGTTTTTGGAGTAAAACACAAAAGTTAAAAATCATTAGTTATTAAAGAAATTAGCGTTGTCTTGAACAGAGTTTCAAGTCCAGAGTTGTATTTATTTGATTTCCAAAAGGTAAAAGTAAAATAAAGTTAAAAGAATATAATACTCAAAAATCGTATATGTTCCTTATATACATACTTGGGCTGTAATGGGATAGTAATTTTGAGACTTAACTTGGAGTATGTCACCAGAAGCATCAGTCATACAGCGGGGTTCATTAATCAATTCCCACGCAAAGATTGTTGGATCATCCCTGTACTGAATCCCAGTGTATGTGTTCCTCCTCATTAGCACTATCTGCCGAATAAGACGTAATTATTTCATGAAAGAGACTGCATTTTCTGCTCTTTGAAGTCACATTTTAGTTATGGGTAAAAATAGGAAAAGGAAGCCAAGAAGTATCCTCTTTCCTTTTTCTTTTTATTCCCATATGAAAAGAGAAAAATGGAGGAAAAGCAACAATAGTTCCTTCTCTCATTTCTTCCAGAACTTCGTCATTGTTTTTTTTACTCAGGAAATCAAATAAAGCTGCATTAATAATTCCTGCATGACATCTTCCATTGCTCAATTATTATGCTGATCATGCAAATGTAACAAGGTAAAACTATATATCACATTTTAGAGTGGAAGTTCAAAATCGTGCAAAAGCAATGGAATTAGCATGGCATTTAAACAACTCTAATGGAGTTTAATCAACTTATTTCCATGCCATCAATATTTTGTAAGCCTGTATAAAGAGACAATTTAAAGCAGGCCAACATAGTACTTCTATGATGATGAAGCATGTGCATGTTGTATAATTTACCACGTCAATCTTCAATGTCTTCAAAATATGAAGCAAATGGTATATCACAATGAATGCGTAAAAACTACATAAGAATGACTATATTGATAAGGTTAGTTTTGGAGAGAACAGTTGGAGTTAACTCCAAGAATGTGGAAATTAACTTGGGAAATTCAACTCGGGAAACAGAGTACTAATCAAGTACTTTCAAATCTCCAACAACTTGTGGTATTTGATAGCAATTGCAAATTATGTGTTTCCGATATATATATATGGCTTGGAGTATCGTCTAATAACTAAATAAGCATTTTATTCCATCATATTTATCTAAAAGCCAGTCTGATTTTAGTAGCAGCTAAAAAGGACCATCTTTAGGAACTCCGCAAATTATTTTGTCCTTGTGTACTAATGCAGAGAAGAACAAAATGGACTTCTTCAGTTTGAGGTTTAAAAAACTAAAAATAAATAAATAATAAGAGAAAATTAGTTTCCAGGCAAATATTCAATGGATATATATGCCCAAACAACCATTTTCTAGAAACATATGATGGATGAATTGGTCAAAGAGTGTTAAGGAAACAGTCATAGGAATTTGTAAGTGCCAAGAGAAATACATGTTCCATCTCTTGTCTTTTCACGTTTGAATGACCCGCACACATGTTTTATGATAAAAAAAAAAACATTTCAATAGAAAGATTACATAGACCAACATGGCTGATGTCTTATATGCAGCAAGAGTCGTCTTGTTAGCCTGACAACTTTGAAATTAAGTAAAAAGTTGATAGGAATAAGCAAACATAAACATCCAAAACGTTGTAGCCTTGTGATAAAACACAGATCGTCATGCTCCCAAATTTGGAAAGAAAACTATTAAGTCCTCAGAATATGATGCCTACTCTTTTGCAAGCAGCCCAACAAGACAAAAATAAAATCTTGATTGGCATTTTAAAGATAATATTTGATGCTTGATGTCACACCCAAGATAACTATAAAGATTGCTCAAAAAGTTAAGATAATAAGATTACCTTAACATAAGTTTTGAAATAATGCCGAATGGACGGATCATAGAAGAATGAATCATTAGAAGAGCTTAAGCCAACACCCTCTTCCCATGCCCACTTAACGTACTGAGTCTTTCCACCATATGCTTGCAAGTTGTTAACTAAACTCAATATTAGCCTTATTCCATTTTGTCTGGCTTCTGCAATTACATGATCCAAAGCCTGCCATGGTACGTAAAAGCATTAAATTATAAGTGTCAAATAAGGAAAATTAGTAAATGAGTTTTCAGAATGGACAATCTGACTCAATTAATGCCATTTACAGTTAAAAACAGAGAAAGACCAACTGATTTAACAATAGGCGGGGCAATTACTGTGAATCAGCCAAAAACTACACGCTTGATCAAGCGAAAACACACAATCATGATATCAGCCAGTTCTTGGGAGATCAATATATTCTTGAAATTTCAATATGGAGAGTTAAAATCAAGAACAGTTAAATACATAGAAACAAAGCTAAACCAATCAAACCTAAATCTATGGTTACATTGGCTTGAACAGTTAATATTCCAACCCACAGCTATTAAATGTTAGGTAAGTCACTGACCCATCATAAAAATCCCAAAGTTCCTTAACATATTTAAGTTATATTACAACAACAACAATAATAATAATATAATTGAAACCTATGACTATACCATGGGAGGTCAAAATCTCGAATCACTTTTAGAAGGAAAAGAGTATAGTACAAAAAGAAACATTTAACCATACAGTGATTATGCTAAAAACAGAATTAGATTGAGTTATACAGTAAACATTTATCATAGAAATTCTAAAAATCCATCATATATTTAAGATTGAGTGAAGCAATATGAAACCTTTAACTTATACCAAAGAACTTAAGGTCAAAATCTTGAAAACGCTTTATCCGCAGAAACAAAATTCGCTTACTCTGAATACTTTTTCATCAAATCTACCAGGAGAAATCTGGAGA